TAAACCCTATCGGATAAGCATGTTATAAACTTCTGAAACATTGGTCTTTCATATTTTAGAGCAGTCACTGCAAATTATGAAAGAACTCAATTAAATATGTATGTGGGAGTGTTTGTGAAAAAAATCAGATGTATCCCCCTTTGTAATCCTTAACATTTTCATAAGTAACTGTAATTTAATTACATATTTTTTCTTAGTAATTGTAACTAATTACAATTACTTTTATTTTGTAATTAAATTACGTAATTCCGTTACATGTAACTAGTTACTCCCCAACACTGCTGATAATAGAATCAGTGAAGAAATCTCACTAGTTGACTTTTGGATCCCACCATAATAAATGATGAAAAACCCACTGATATCATGAATTCTTTATAATCAGCGTACACTGATGAGACGCGGGTCTATTCTGGCATTAGGACAGCAATGTAAAAAAGGCAGACACATAAAATAACGTGCCAACTTAAAGGGATAGTACACCAAAAATGAAAACTCTGTCATCATTTACTCTCCTCAACCGGTTGACGGTAGCCATTGACTTCCATATAGCACTGCATGATAAATCGCGATAAATTGCAATCGATATTAGGCAAAAGCTGCGATATTCATGCGCGCATCTTGTCAGTGAAGCAGGGTTCTGTGATCAGTAGTAAATCTCCATCCAAAGACAAGATTTAACTGCTTTCATTGATTCAACGTGACTAATAAACACAGGACTATCTAAATTTTTCTTATTATAATAAAGTATATAATAATGCAGTGCCTTTATCATACTATGAAATATGTTGCGTGCCTTATTCTGTGTATGAAGCCGCATCATCTCACAGAAGGATTTATTTCGAACACTCGACTGACGTTATGAAGTGAGTTTGGAGTAAAAACATGTTATTAAATGTGGTATTTTCATGTGCTTTCAGATGGAGCAGCATTCACTACACAGAGCCGTAGTTCTACACAAACGGCTGTCATAATCGCAGCGCGATTTCATAATATCGATGTATAGTATCGATGATATCATCTGCGATTTTTTTGCGTAGCTTGTCAGTGAACTACGGATCTGTGGAGTAAATGCCGCTCCATCTGAAAGCACGTGATTGAGATTTACTACTAATCACAGAACCGGCTTTACTGACAAGGATACGCATGATAATCGCATGCGATTTATCGCGCAGCCCTAAAACATGTTATTAAATGTGGTATTTTCATGTGCTTTCAGATGGAGCAGCATTCACTACACAGAGCCGTAGTTCTACACAAACGGCTGTCATAATCGCAGCGCGATTTCATAATATCGATGTATAGTATCGATGATATCATCTGCGATTTTTTTGCGTAGCTTGTCAGTGAACTACGGATCTGTGGAGTAAATGCCGCTCCATCTGAAAGCACGTGATTGAGATTTACTACTAATCACAGAACCGGCTTTACTGACAAGGATACGCATGATAATCGCATGCGATTTATCGCGCAGCCCTACTTCCATAGTATTTTTTTCCATACTATGGAAGTCAATGGCTACCGTCAATTGTTTGGCTACTAACATTCTTCAAAACATCTTCTTTTTTGCGTAACATAAGAAAGAAACTCGTACAGGTTTGGAACCACTTGAGGGTGAGTAAATGATTTTTGGGCGAACTGTGCCTTTAAGGAGGACGGTAAGGAAAGATATTGTTCAGTCTCTCTACATCTAGGCTCTTTTCTCTCTCTCTGCAGTCATACTGTTTGTTGGTAACCATGAGGGATTGACCGCAGGCGTGCGAACAGCTCCTGACCTTTAACCTGTCGCCGTTTTAATCACGCTTCGCTCTTCCCTTCCTCTTTCTCCTGCCGCTCTCGGCCGCTGCCGGTTTCTCGTCCGTCTTGCCGGCGTTTCCGTTACTGGAGGCCAGGGCTCCGTAAAAGGCTCCGTTATGAAGGGCTTTGCCGGGTTTGGCCGCGGTCTCGCGGCGGGGCTGGCGGCGATACGTCTGATAATAGAAATTCCCAAAGAGGATGATGAAGGTGAGGGCGTATCCGATCAGACACCAGTGCATCCACTTAGGGAACGGGCAGTCGGAGTACAGCGACAGAGCCGTGTGGCCGATGGTGACGTGAAACTGGACCTGCGGAAGAAAATATAACATAACTGATCAGCTCTCAGAGGTTGAGCTGGAAAAACGAAACTTATTCAACATACACTACCATTAAACATTTTGGGGACGGTATGTTTTTAATGCTCATCTATGCTGCATTTATTTGATCAAAAATACAGTAAAAACAATAACAGTAAAATCGTGAATTATTATTACAATGTATGTTTTCTATGTGAATATCTGTTAAACTGTAATGTATTCCTGTGATGCGCAGCTGTATTTTCAGCATCATTACTCCAGTCTTCAGTGTCACATGATCTTCAGAAATCATTCTAATATGCTGGTTTGCTGCTCAAGAAACATTTCTGATTATTATCAATGTTGAAAACAGTTGTGCTGCACAATATTTTTGTGCAAATTGTCATACATTTTTTTATTTCAGGATTCTTTAATGAATAGAAAGTTCAGCGTGTATTTGAAAACTATATTTTTTGTAACATTATAAATGTCTTTATTATAATTTTTGGTAAATGTAATCCATCCGTGCTGAATAAAAGTATTAATTTCTTTAAAAAAAATCTTAATCTTCCGCAAATTTTTGAATGGTAGAGTATGTAAAAGTAAATATTAGTTCTGAATGAATGATTAGTAACAAGTCAAATATAATAAAGCTACTAAGGTTAAATTTAATTATTATTTCTTATGTTTAAACTGTTATTCTGCATAAATGTTTTTGGGAAAACTGAATTGTTGCATAAAATTATTTACAGTATGATGGTAATGACAGCAGCATTGAAGACAGCAGTTTTTTTTAAATTACAAATTGTATGCATACTCTAAATACCAAATAAATGGAAAATATGTATTTTATCTTGTGCAAAGACAACACATTTTATAAAACACTTTTTACAAATTTTTACAAAAGTACAAGTTATCTGGTTGGCAGAAAATCAAAAAATAGAGAAATTCTGGAAATTGATAAAGTAGACATTTTGATATAATTGATATAGTATAATTGATATAATACTTTAAAATAAAATGTTACTATAATCTGTACTTTAATAAAACCGGAATCATATTTATTTCTAAAGTTCCCCTATCTGCAGAATCACGCTTAAATTCCACATCGTTCTCAAATTTGCCGTGTTTTTTTTTCTCACAAATGCTTGTGAAATGTCAGCATTTACCATTTGGATGATGGTCAGATACTTCTTCCACCACAGATATTTCTGTATTTTTGGACCGAATGCGGCCAGCCCATAATACAAGTACATCAGGACATGGATGGCTGCATTCATATGAGCCCCGAAGAACGCTGAGGAAGAGAGACATACACATGTACAGTATGTTTTTGTAACAGTCTGAAGGGGAGTATGACAGAATGATCATTTTTTCCATTCCTGTGTACGGTGCTTATGTGTTTGATACTTACACTGTCCACCGGCGACCCATTTGATGCCGATCCACCACAGAGTGAACATGGTGCAGTGGTGATAGACGTGCAGGAAGCTGATTTGGCTGAACTTCTTGCGTAAGATGAAGAACACAGTGTCGAGGTCCTCCACACCTTTAGAAATAAAGTACCACCACAGAGCTGCTGCCACCTGCCAATACAAGAGGAGAAGAGACGTCAGGAACTGCAGCGTTTATAAAAGTCTCTTTATTCCAGTGTGTTTTAGACTAACTTTTAGAGTCTTTAGAAAAAACACTGAAAGAAATTATACGTTTAGACCTCTGAACTTAGATACTTTAAACTTTTTTTAAATTATTACAACCAAATGTATTAGTTTTTCTAAAAAAAAAAAAATACATTGGTTCAAAACCTACATTTTAATTGAATATTAATAAAAAAATTCTAGTAGATTTTACATTTTACAGAATTCCATTAATTAAAAGCAAAGAAATCAAGTTAGAAGAGAAACACAATTTTGTTGTGTAGATCACAAATAATTTGATTAATCAGACAATAAATCAGTAAATCAGACAATCTGTGTTTTCCCATTTTTTTAGACCCAAGCCATAATGTCACTTAATGTAGGTCAAGATTATATATGTGTGTGTGTGTATATATATATATATATATATATATATACACACACACACA